CTCCATAGATTCGAATTTGTGGAAGTTTCATCAAACTAGAAGATTAGAGAAGATGGATAGGGATTTATACATTCAAGTTTCTTGATCCAAGCATAAAATCTTCCAACCGACTTTAATAAAGCTTATATTCCAACATTTACTCTAAAAGTGTCTCCAAGATCTCCCAATCATCTCAAGATTGTGAAAATAAGGTAGAGGAAGTAGAGTTCGGATTTCACTCATTTGAACCCAAATTTTCCAAGCTTCTCAAAATCATGAAAATAAGGAAGATGAAGGAGATTTTGGGTTTATGTTTATAAGCTTTCCATCCTGACACATTTGGTCCTTCGATTTCTATTTCACTCATTTGGCCCCAAATTGATTTTAACTCTCAACCAACATTTTATAGTTTACCATTTCAACCTGAAGTAACATAATTATTAACATTTTAAATCCTATGAGAGTTAAATAGATTAAATGAAAACCACACTTAGTTTAAACACACCTAAGTCAAGTCAACTTAATTTTTATATTGAATTCATTAAAGTTATTAGGTTTGTTTTAATAATTATTATTTTTATTATTGATTTATTTTATTTAAATATATATATATTTTAAATTGCCTGTAAAATTCAAGTGTTACACCTAACCTTAATGGAAGACCCTAACAAACTCAATGGAGTTGTTGTATTCATCATTGATGAAATAAATATAGAACCATCCAAACAAAATGGAACTCTAAACCCTATCCATTCTCTAACAATTGGAATAAGGTCTATGAATGGCAATGAGGGTGCACGAGGCAGGGTATGTTATCCTCCTTCCTGAACCAAAACTAAAAAACGGCCTCGAACCGGCCTCGTGACCAGTCGAGGCTACATGTTACCCCAACTCGACCTGAACTTCAGACACTGTTTGTAATCCCCAAAACCCCATTTGCAATCCTCGAAAACCATTGTATGTTTAGTGAGTCTAAGTTAGGCTCACCAAAATTTGAATACTCGTCCTCTTTCTATTTGTAAGATTATATTCATTACAGATTAACATAAATACAACTTGGGATGTTCACTAAACTTTTTTATATTTTAGTTATTTTCCCTATAAATATAGCTTGCTGGTTCAACTCTAAAGAAAAAATGATATGGATCATATCGAGGACTTAGCAAAGCACTTTATGGATAAATGTGACGCGTATAAAAGGGATGTTTAGAGGTACAATTTCAAACGAACATAATTTTGACTTCTCAAGAGTTTTGAGACCCATCTTATAATGTGGATAACTATCATCAGGTTGGAGCTCTTGTTTTTTTTTCTTCCCAAAATAAGATGTGCCCATAGATACCTAATGCCCATGTAAATTCGCCCATTGATATAATTTGTTTATGATCAGGTTTTATTCAAAAACTGAAAAGATACTATTATAAATTAGAAGTTCATACAAGTATCTTTAAGTCACATTACCCAAGTAACTTGATTTTAAGTTGTCTACTCAAAATACAAGTAAACCAATTGGAAACAATGGAATCAAATACTCTCCTTCCTCGGTTTAGGATCTTGAAAGATGAAAGCATTCCAAAAACTCGAAAAGACTAAATATACCAAAACGTACAAAAAAAACCAAAAACAAATCAAATTGGTAGCCAAAGTAAAAGGCGGAATTTGAATGCTATACCACCAAAACATAACCTTAATTAATGCCTTAAACAATCAAGTTCAATCCTACAGATAAACAAATAAGTGAGACATTATATATTTGCAAATTTATAATAAAGACTCGATTTTGGTAGTCTTTAAAATTTTTTAATTTGTCAACCATACAATACACGGGTTATGACCTAATTGCATATAAAAAAACAAAATACTTTCAATTCTCAACATTGACACCTTTGATTTTTGAACATGGACTAATGGTGTTCCAATGGATGACGAAGATATGATGCAAAAGAATACTAAGGCTATAGGGAGTGGAGTTGTTAAGAACCATCGCTAAACTTTTTACTAACTTTTTTAATTAATAAATCTGATATTTACCCTAATATAGTTTATATTATATTACTTGTTTGTGGTTTAAAAAAATAATATGTGTTTAATATTTGTGCACAAAAAATGTTTGTATATTTAAATAATGTAATTTAATTAAAAATATATATTTTATTTAATATTAAATAAAAAATGTTTGTTTATTAAAATAAATTAATTAAATTAGAAAAAAATAAATAAAAAATAGAATGTTAGGAGTGTTACCACTCTCTACCAAATGTTAAGTTTAAGCATCAAAAGAATAAATATAAAATGGCATTCGAAAAACTGACTTGACAAAATGTTAGAAGTGTTACCACTCCCTTTAGCTTAACTTAGGTGCTTTTGTTTTTTCTGATATAAAATGTCTGCAGTCTGCGGACCACGTCTGTAGACCTCTATAGCAGAAGAGGTGGACCAAACGTCTACAGTCTAAAAAAAGAAGATTTTTTTTTTTTTTTAACATTTGCAGGCTACTAAAATAAACTAAAATCTAAATAAACTGAATTTTTTAAACTACAAAGTGGTTTTTTAATATAGTTATGATTTTGTTATAAATAATTAACAAATCTAAATCATTTGTTATGTATTATCGTAAGTGAAAATAAAAATGGTATAAATTAACGTATATATTTGATAAAAACTAACAATTTTGGTCGCAAAGTTATACCTAAACATTGTAATTATAAATCAAAGAATTTGATACATAAATGGATGGAAATAAACTTCGATTTTTTCAATTAAAACAATTAAAAACGGGACATAAATATTTTTCAAAGAAATTGACGATACTGTATTAAATAATCTTTTATAAAAATTGGCATAAAAAAAGTATAAGAATATATTATTTTGTTTTTTTTCATATTTATATAAACAACTTCAACAATCATTATTGTAATAAATTTAATTTATAAATTTGTCAAAAATAATTTTTTTTAAGTATTTGTGGTTTTTTTTTTCAAATTGTTTATCACTAATAAAGTTGGAATAAATATAAATTCAAAAAAACTAAAAAAAAATAAAGATGTGTGTTTTTTTAGATTAGAAGAGGTCTGAAGATGTTAGAAGTTTACATCTGCACCAAAAAGAGGACGCGCATAAATTTTTAGGTCCGTAATCTTCAAAAAAAACAAAGAGTTTGCAAAGACTAATATTTGTTTGTGGTCTAGACTACAAGAACAGAAAAAAACCAAAAAATTTACAGACTAAAAACAAAATCCACCTTATACAACTTTACCATGTAAGAATTGCAAACAACAAATTTGGAAAATAAAAAGGCAAAGTCACACACTCACATGGGAAACTCAGACGAGCAGCTTTAGTGAGAGTGGGGAGAGGAATTATTTTTGTTTGTATCTTACTCCATGTCCCTGACAAGCCCACGTTTCCTCATCTGTCTTTTTCAATTTTTCTTCGTTTTCCAAAATTATAATACTTTACTTACTTCTTTGTATTGTAACCGACCTATATATATATATATATATATATATATATATATATATATATATATATATATATATATATATATATATATATATATATATATATATATATATATATATATATATATATATATATATATATACGCAATAAATTAAAGATAATGAATTAAATTTGATTGTGTTGTGATAATATAAATTTAAAGAAAGTTTTAACACTATTTTTTTCACTGTCTTTAACCTTTTTTAAATTATAAAAATGTCAAAAATCATGTTTTGTTAATATGAAATAATTTCTCATATATCATTGATTATCATGATTTAGTTCAAAGTTTGGATGAATTATTATCTAAAATATAAGAATGGGGTGACACGATCTTATAGTTTTTTTTTGTTTTCGCGTTTTCACAAATTATATGCATTTTCGTATAACGTTTTATTCTTATTTTTCTGTAATACTCTTATTTTTCTGTAATACTGCATCTTTATTTTTTTTATTAAATACAATAAAAGTTATGTGCCAGTGCTTTCAAGTTATTTTTTTATTATATTGTCGTATTTAAATTATAGGAATAAAATTCTCTTTTTGTTTGGATAATTTTGTTATTACTGAATAAAATTTCACAAACACAATACTTAATAATAGGAGAGAAATGATATTAAGATATTGTAAAATCTATGGGATATTTCATATTAAAGATATTACCTCTAAAAACATACTGAAGTTATACGAAGAAAACATATTTATCATCATAAAAACAAGAACCAGATTGTTACTGAAAATATAGATACAATTGACCTAACTTCTACTCATTTACCAAAATAGGCATCAAATCCGAAATAAGCATTTTGGATTTGGAATATATTATGTGTACAAAAAGAATTCATTCGCATCAACATTTTTCAAAAATTATTTTTACTTATGTTTAGTTTCTCAAAATTTCAGATTTGTTTTTCGGATTTCAGATTTTTTTTGAACTCTGAAATATGTTTTTTCCCTATGTCGATAATGCTTCATCCAATTGAAATAATCTTTTGTTAAAGAAAAAAAAACACGGACACACACATTTGATGCAACACCATTAAGTCCTAAATTGAATCATCCAGAATTGGTGGTCATTTATTGAAATGGCTCAAGGTTGGTTATAAAAGAAGTCTTTTTTTTTTTATGAATACCCTCTTATATTTTCTTCCTACATATCTTCCTATAATCCTACCCATGCTAAATGATAATAAATATATTAAAATATTGACAAGTATGAAATATTATTGCATCCAGATGATATGCTCCTACACGGCATAAAACAAGAAAATGAGACAAAACAAGATGATGATGATGAAAAGATTTGCATGTTTTTGTGTAAATTCTGAAAAATAAAAGACATCAAGTTTCAAAGTTTTACATGTTTAAACTCTAATGTTGCTGGTGGTGGTACTACAGAATGGCCATTCTCTCCCCTATTGTTACGTATGTCCCAACCAAATTCAAAAAAAAAAAAAAAAAAAAAAAAAGTAGACTGACGAGACTACCACTATCAAAAGGACATGAAACATCTCTATGAACTCGTAGTAACCACTGATTCCACTCATTTATCAAACAAAAGCAGATAATATGTTTTTCTTGAGTGTAAATTCGTCCGCCTTTGAAGGGCTAATCGACTGCAACAATAACACAAATGAAATACAATCAGATAACAGAGACATGACTTAATGGGTTAATCCCAAAAAAAAAAAATGTATTTGATTGGATTTTTACCTTAGAAAGAATACGCTCTAAACGTTGGATCTCGTTCTTAGCATAATCACCACCTTTGCTCAGACTACTTTTGGCAACTTTCACATAAATCTTTCCATATCTGATTTAAAAAAACACAAGTATAAAATATATATATATATATATATATATATATATATATATATATATATATATATTCCACAAATATGTTAAAAAAATAACCAAAACAAAATGAACAAAAAGATAACCTTGAAGCAGAACCAGTGAGTTTCCCAACTTCCTCCTCAATCTTGCTATATAATGCTTTCTTTTCATCACTTCCAGCAGTCACAAACTCCTTCACTAAGCTATCCAATTCTGCAATTAAACCAGCCTACATTCACCACAAAAACAAATTAATAAATGTCTTTTGTTTTAAAGGTCAAAGGTCAAATTTGAAGTCAAACACTAACAGTGGAAGTAAGTTGGCCTTTGGCATCACGGCTAGTGCCACATTTCTCATTGATGAAGGTCACAAAGCTATCTATATCGCGTCCACCTTCATAGTCTTCACCATCTTTGTTCTTCTTTGGGAAGAACTTAATTGTTGGGAAACCACTTACACCATACCTACATCAACAGATATAATCTTCATCATGATAATATAAAAGTTAAAAACAGACACCCAATCTTTCATGACTTCAAAAAAGGCCCAATTTTATAACTGTTAATTACTTTTCACCAAGATCCTTATAATTGTCAGCATCAAGATTGGCAATAACTACATCTTCCTCATTTTTATAGGCTGATGCAAGACTTTCGTAAACCTGATAGAAAAGAGATTATTACTGTTAGTGTACTGTATTTGTACTATTATTCCCCATTTGTTACATGACAGTGTATGCTTTTTGAAAAGACGTATACACCCTTCACATAATCATCATTGAAAATAGCCCTAAAAAGCTTGTCAAGTCCTGTTATCATTTTAAATGTAAAGAGTTGAGATACATACAGGAGCAAGGCTCTTGCAATGGCCACACCTGTTACAGGATAGAAGATTTGTAAGTGCAAATCTACAGTAATCAACAAAAATAGCATTTTATTTTGAAATTTTTATTATGAAAGTAATCATGTGTGTAAGAAGGATCATGGAGAACATGAAAGATGTAATAAAACTAAAAGTGACTCACCATGGTGCATAGAATTCAACCAACACATCCTTTTTAGCATTCAATACAATCTCCTCAAAGTTATCAGAGTTTAGTACTACAACACTTGAGGGAACTGAAGCTATCTTTACACTGGTCCCTGAAAATTATAAGTAAATAGCTATGAATATATAAACAAGAATATTATATCTTTTTTTTTTTCAAAAACAATGGATAAGGAGCAACATCATAATGAAATAAAATAACCATCAGATCCCATTACCTCCTTCAGAATTTACAAACTCAACAAGTGCTTCAGCAGTACGTGCTCCTTCATACCTAAAAAGAGATTATTAAGTGGGGAAACCAACACATGAAAACAAGATGATAAAAACACTTACTTTTTGGGTTCCAAAGATCCCTTAGGAAACCACTGGATGGTGGGGTAACCAGAAACACCAAATTTGCTACAAACACCCTTATGCTCATCACAGTCCACCTGTCAAGACAGAGTAAAGATATTAGCATAAACCATTAGTAACTAATTATGGTATCTTTTGACATTTTCAAGGGGTAGGGTAACAGTTGAGATTCATAATCATTAATCCAGATAATACAGGTTATAAATGTGGCAGGATTGGGTTCCTTTTTCTGATAGAACTATAGATGCTTAAAGGCCCATGGGCCTTATAGCATTTGATGTATAGAGAACATTTGAACAATTATAAAAACTTATCTTACAAACATATTCAAGAATCACAAACATTTACCTTTCCGATCAAAACAGATTTTGATTTTTTGAAGCTTGCACCAAGTTTTTCATATTCAGGAGCAAGCTTTTTACAGTGCCCACACCTGCCACATAAGAGGAGTTAAAATTCACTGCTATTTTCACATATCATGATATGAAAAGCATAGCAAACATTTCAAGGAAGAAAACTGAAAAGCATTTACAAACAATCTCCACATAAGTCATAACCAAGTTTCACTAGATTAGTGGGAATTTCTAACGCAGTTCAAGAACATACAACAGATCAATGAGGATCTACTTCACTTTAAAAACCCCAATGAGAAAATTCAAACACAAGCAGCCATGATTTAGCTTGTGGAAAATATTATAAAGACCTATATAAAAAAGAATACAGTTAACGTTGATTTTGGTGAGCCAACTTTAGCTAATGAGATTTGGTGGCATACAGCACAGACCATGTGTAAAACGACAGATCTAAGTTAGAAAAACTTGCAATTAGAGAAAAGGAGAAAGAGAAAGCAATGATAAACTAAATTGTAGGCATAAGCATCGCAAGAACATACAAAAGTGGGTAAGTGTTACTTATTGCTTTCAAAGACAAGAATATCAACTTCATTTGAACTTTTAGAAACACAAGTTGAGTATTGGCGACAAGTTCCGTTAAACTTCTGGGGGTTGCAATTTCTAGTTTAAAATCAAACAGTCAACATGGATGGTCAACCGCCCTAGACACCAACAGCACTTCAAATACCTCAACCTTACTTAGATCTAGATCAACTACATTGAAAACTCAAAAGAAGTAAAAAAATCAAGATCACTCTTATCGGTTGGCGAGAAACTAGATACAAGCATAGGACCAAAACCAAACCAAAGTTCACTTATTCAAATACACTACTAGAAAATGAATCTTATAGCTGATTTACCACAACAAACAAAATCAGTAAACTAAAGCCGATCGGCCGTCCCATGCCAAAATTCAACAAAAAGAGAATCCTAATTAATCGCAATAATCAGATCGAGAGAAAGCGATTAGCAGGATGAGATGAGTTTAATTACCATGGAGCGTAGAACTCAACGAGTGCGCCACGATCTTGACCGACCTCCTTCTCGAAGTTGTCTTCAGTGAGTACGACAACATCAGCGACGGCCGATGATAAAAAGAGAAGAGCTAGGGTTGCTAACGTGAAGAAGATGGAGGATCTCGACATTTTTGTTTGAAGGAGTTGTTGCGAAAGGGGTTAAGGAGAGGTTGGATTTAAGTACTATAAAGACCGAGTCTGCTCTACGTTATGTTTTAGGATCCCGTGAAATCCCACCCATTTATCTTTCTTTCCAAGAAAAAGAAAAAGAAAAAGAAAATTAGCAAAGTCATAACTACTTCATTCTAGATTAAAATATCTTATATTATCTTTATGCCAAATTTACACCCAATTCACTTAACTTTAATCAAAAATATCGACCCCAAGTTTTCCTCGTAAAAAGATTTCAAACTTTCATAAAAATAGGATATTGACTTGTCCTTTTTTTGTAATTCCGACTTTTACTATAATTGGGTAAGTTCCAATTATAACAAATTTTAGTGTCGCTGTATATAATCGTGAAATTTACTATAAATATGATTTGATGAAACTTCAAGCCACTATTTCATGCTATTTTGATAGTATTAAATTTATCACAATGGGACATTCCCAATACTACAAGATTCACACCTAATTAGAATAATTCGATTTGGACTGAAACTAGATGATGGAGTGGTGATGGTGGCTTGGTTTGAACGTGTTGGAATGTCTAGAAGCTAACCAAACAAATTTACATGAAATACTTTTTTAAGCCAAAGACTCGTTCGTAAGTCTTGAAACACCCCCCAAGAAGAAATTATAAAACTAGTACTTGACTCGCAGGGCCGGCCCAACTACATGGGCAAGTTGGGCTTAGACCCAGGGCATCAAAAAAAATGGAGGTATATTTTTTATGCAGCAAGTCATAATATATCTATGTAATTTTGGCCCAAAAATTAAACCCAATTACTCCAATAGTCCAATCCAATAATAATCAACGTTAGGGCATTACCGATTCAGCGATTCTTGACCTTGAGCGCCAAGTGGATTAGCGCAATCGTCAGTTGAAGAGTTGAAGCAGTCGGGAGATGAGGAGACGGTCGACCAACGTTCAAATGGATTCAACGTATTTGTTGTGTGGGCATCACCGATTCAGCCGATACGTTCAATCAATAAATCTTGACCTCTCAATTTCTTATTCAATCTTCTTCTCAATTTCTTATTCAATCAATCAATCTTCTCTAAAACTCATAGCCTATACGTTCAATCGATCTTTCAACATCTGATTTTTGATTTGATGATTTCTAATTACCGACAACAAACGAAGGGCGGAAGGGAAGTAGGGAACCAAGAAGGCAAGAAATCAAACACAACCCGTGAGGCCATGACCGGAGATACAATCTAATTGCAATTTCTATTCTTCATTATGATAAACTCGAATTTTGGGTGAGTTTTCATCAATTGACTGTGAGTCTGTGAGTTTTCTTCAATCATTGTTTCTTTTTTCTTAATAAGATTAATTGAATATTGTGATTTGTTGTTTGAGTTGCAGATTTTGAAATTGGAATTTTCAATTGCTTTCAAATAGAAAACGAAGTGAACCACAGTTTCTGAATTCTCTTTTCAGTTCTCATTTTGTGCTCTTCTGCTTATTAGGGTAAGATCTCTATTTTTCTTCAAATGATTTTTTTTATTTCTGTATGAAGTTTTTCAACATTGAAGCTTTTGAAAATCGTATCTCCGAAGTACCATGACTCAAGAAAGATTGAATGGATTAACAATTTTAAGTATTGAAAGTGATTTTTTAAAAAATATTGATTATTGTAAAATAAGAGATGTTTTCGCTCAAAAAATGCGCGAAGACATCGTTTTAGATGATTTTTTGTATATTTTGTTTGTGTTATTTGTTTGATTATAAAAATTACTGCATTTTTTATATTAGAAATTACTACATTTGTTTGATTATATGTTTTTGTTATTGTACGGTACACATATAAGGGCATAATTTTTTTATCTCGCCCCGGGTAGTAAAAAACAATGGATCGGCCCTGTTGACTCATCTCACTTATTGCAGGGGTGGTGAACTAATTTACAATATTTATAATAAATATGAAAACTATAGTGTGTGTGTGTATATATATATATATATATATATATATATATATATAAATTTAGGGTTTGTGATTGAGATCTGAATACCAACTTGGATCATAAAAATACTTTATGAATTGAAATTTCTACCATATGTTTGGGTTGCAAGAAATTCAGTTTAGGATAATCTAAGTAGACACGTACGATACTAGGCATAGAAATCGTAAGCCAAATTGCTAGAAAGATTTTGTGAACGTTTGAAGAAAACGAGAGCTGAATTTCGTGTGTATCTTCTGAGAAGAAAGAATCGTTTATATAATAAATGATATTAGGGTTTCATTAGGATTGGGTCGTCATGAGTTGCTTTGGAAGCAAGTCAGGATAATCCGGATTCAAATAAGGATTTAGAGTTACTAATACTAACGAGTTTCGTTAGCTTTGGAAACAAGAAGGACCCCATCCATGGGCTCTATCCCTTGGACCCCGCTAGGGGCACTACACCTATACCCCGCCAAAGGGGCGTTGCACCTTTGGAAACCCTGGACCCCCGACTTGTCGTCGAACCGGCTTCTAATTTAACATTATACATGCATGCACTCCGCACAAACCCGAACATATATTAGAATATAAATTATGAAGCTTCTTAGCTTACATGTTAATTCAAGTTACATAAAATGACATATATATATATATATATATATATATATATATATATATATATATATATATATATATATATATATATATATGAGGAGAGTTCAATTGAAAAAAAAATTGAGAATGAGGAAATCATTATCAGCTACACATTTATTTTGTTGCAAAAAAAAAAAAAAAAAAAAAAAAAAAACCCTTAGACGTACCAGCGGAATGTGTAACAGATATACATGTGTTTTCCAACCAAACATGTTTCCTTAAAGTATCTTAATCATTACCTTACTATACTCGAAAACATGTTTTTTTTTATTATTTTTTTTATTTTTAGAATGTTATTTTTATCGAAAATTTATTTAATTTATATCAAAATTTATACTTTTTATTATCTATAAATAGACATCCATGTTGATATAGCTTTGAGATCAAATAAAAAAATTATTTTTTTTAGAGTTTTACTTATTGTTATTCATAAGTGAATAAAAACGCATAAGGTTTGTATTAAAGTACATTCGTTATTCACTTATGAATAAAATGTATGTTTAACTTTTTTACAATTTAAGTATCGTTTATATATGAATACAACACGTTATAAAGTTTTCTTACCTAAAATATATTTTTTTACATCATCTTTCGTCACATGTTATATTTATATATGAATAAAACGTGTATTAGTTATTGTCATATATTATATTCATATATTAATAAAACATTTATAAGATTTTTTTGTTACAGTTCATTTGTTATTCATATATAAATAAGTAGTATGTTAAAAAAAAAATATGAAGTGTTTTGGAATTTTGAACTACTTAGGAAATGCTTGTTAGGGCCTTAGAATACCTCATTTGCAAGCTTTTCAATGAGTGTACGACCGTAAACTCCATGACCGTACACTCATTGGCCGTAAACTCCCTTTAGCCGTAAACTCCTGGTCGTACACTCTTTTGTGTGGCCATAAACCCCTTAGATGCAATCCTTTGTGGTTGTAACACTTCAACATAAGTGTTTCCTAGTCCCTAAAGTGGTTTCCTTACTTGATTAGTTATGTATACATTAATTATATACATATATGTCATTAGATGCTTATTATGATCCGTTTGTGCCCGAGATTTCACTTAGCACTCAACATCCTTTTCTGATCTTACATTCAATCCACTCACTACAGGTGAGTTCATACCCTAACTAACTTTTTAAATGATTTTAAATGCTTTTACGGGGGGATACAAGTTGAAACATTGTAGTTATTACATCAATAACATGTGATTAATAACTATCAAACAAATTGATTTCTTATACATCAAAACTGTGTTATCAAACAAACTATTTCAAAACTCTTTTGCCAAACTCTTTATATGCTAAATTCTTTATCAAACACTTTTAAGCTTATATATTGTCAAAATCATGTCTATTCAAATATAGTTATATAAAGGGAGAATTTCATATATACCATTCTTAAACCTCAAAATATCATATTTGTCCAACTTAATTTCTTAATATCATATTTACCCTTCATAAACCTTCAAAATATCATATTTGCCCAAATCCTTTTTTATAATGTTTTTAATATTTTATAATCATTTTTTATAACTTAAAATTACTATAATAATTAAAAATTTTAACGATATTATCCTTATGTCTATGATAATGGAATGTGAACTTCTAAATTGTTGGAATGTCGTCCTCTTGACAAACAAAAATATTCATCTTCAACCATCTCTATGGAATGTATATTTTGATTGTTTAGTTTTTTTTGTTGATTATGTTGTAGATGAAGAATATTTTAGATATTACCATTGATATTTTGATGTTTAAAAAGTGCATACACGATATTTTGATATTTAAGAAGAGCATATATGATATTATGATGTTTAAAAAGTACATATATGATATTTTGAAATTTTATGAATGGTAAATATGATATTTAGAAATTTTATGAAGGGTAAATATGATATTTAGAAATTAAGTTGGGTAAATATGATATTTTGATGTTTAAGAATGGCATATATGAAATTCTCCCTTATATAAATAATATTGAAAGGACTTAGGACTGATAACTCGCTTTAATTCATGTTCCTTGTTTGGTTCTGGACTTAGGGTATCGGTTGTTTGTCCGAATGTCATTTGAATCTTAGTTATATATTATGTATATTTGTGTAGATGTAAAGGTTTCATACATCATTTCAGTGCCTTTGAGTATTCAAAGGTGTACAAACATACTCAGTTATTCATACAACATCACTAGTAAACTATAATAAGTATAGTTTATAGGTCTACTACTCACTATTTCTAGTACAATGAAACATAAAAGAGTCAGTTCATACATAAGTCAGTTCAAACATACTATAATGAGAAACAAGGAGGAACACACTACATACTATACACTATACAAAGAGAACATACAATACAAT